AGAAAGTTGATCAAACGAAACTTCAGTAATCAAAGCAAATTCTAAATCGTTACATCGTGGTGTAATCGAGTTTATGTATTCTCTGAAGAAAGAAAAGTAGAGAAAAACGTTCGATAAATAGATTCAACGAATGTACTTTCTACTGTCGTCATTGTTGTTTGTATATCCTAATATATAGAGAAGGCTAGGCATTAAAAGAAAGGAGAAGATTAAGAAGAAAATATATATCGAAGGCAATATGAATTAATATAACTGTCACATATGATAACTAAACAGATCTTATCGAAGTTTTATTATTATGACACTATTTCAAAAGTGATGTAATAATACAGGAAAATAGAGCGTCGTTTTTACTATTAGTCCATATATAGAAAAAGTTTCTTTACGCTTCTAATAAGAAATTGAAGTACGTGCACCACTAATTTTTGATACGCCCTAAGTAATATCATCTATTATGTTTCATACAGTTCTATAAGACAATAAATAAAAACATCAATTTTATGCCATTATTTTAGTAAAAATGCAAAATGTTAGCTTGTAACAAATTTGAACAATGCAATCTCATTAAAGATCGCTTTGACAAAACACATATTACACTTGATATTGCTGTAAAAGAAACATAGATTGTTTTTTCTAATAAATTTATTATAATATTTGTCACTAATTCTAATAGTTCTGTGAGTCAAGTTGCACTTTTGGCAGTTTCATCAGTTCATATATTAAATAAGACCGGCTTCCATAAACTAGAGTCATCTATTTTTATTTATAAATACTGGTAAACGTTATTTTTCATTGGAATTAAGATGATGAAAACAATCTACAATAATATTTGTTGGATCAGATTCGAACGAAAATATACTTCAACAAAATTGATTCAAACTTGCATAGTTTTTTTTTTATAGATATATTCATTGTTTATTGAATAACAATGCCAGCTGTACCATCAGGTTATACAAGTGGTGGTCAAATGAATAAACCAACTTGTTTTGATCGTGTTAAAATTGGTTTTACAATGGGTTTTACAGTCGGTATGGTTACTGGAATAGTTTTTGGTGGTTTTACTGCACTTAGGTATTTTATAATTAAATTTGTTTTTTAGAAAATGTTCATTTGTGTGTGTGTATTTTAGACATGGTTTACGTGGTCGTGAACTTCTTTCAACGATGGGCAAAACAGTAGTGTCAATGGGTGGAACTTTTGGAACATTTATGGCAATTGGAAGTGCTATTCGTTGTTGACAAAAAGAGACAGAAAAATAATTTCGCTTTCTATTCTAAAAATACATCATTTATATATTTGTCAGTTTTGTAGAAAATAAATAAAATTCAGCTAAAGCTTTGAGTTAATGCTAATCCTTGTAATTTCATTTTACCAACAGTAACGATTATATTTGATTTTTTAAAATGATATCATAAAATGAATTAAGCATAAACAAGCCAATCTTCTTACAATTGATTTCTGCGATTCCTAAACATTTTAATTTCTTTAAAACAAAGAAAAAAAAACTTGTTCGATCAAATCTTCAGCATTCTCATCATCACCTTGATATTTAACAAATACGAGACAAATGATCCATTTGATTTCTAAAAACAAGTGTAAAATTCACCATTTTTTAAAAATATTATATCTACTGTGTAGGTGATTTACTCGTTAGAAACATGGTTTTCTTTTTGTATGAAGTTATGTTCAATAATTTATTAATTTCAAAAAGAATGTAAAAGAAACGCATATTTTCTATGGCAATATGTAATAATTTATATATACTTCTGCTACATGGGTCAGTTTATTTGATAGTTATCATGTTGATTTAGAAGAGATTCCCGATCCCGAAGAAACGGGAGTGGACCAAACTCGACGGCACTGCAGTGTCGAGATGATCCGTGGCACGGGTCAGAGTGAACTCAGGTAACCCCGGCCGATGTCCAAAAATCCGCTTGAAAGAGCCTGGCCCCAATGGAACCAGCGCCGGCTTTCAAACCGACGAGAACAGATACTACACTTTGATCTTAGCCGAAAAGGCCGAGAAGCGATAACTATGACGTTTAACTGCGGGGCACGACATCTGTTATGTCCTTACACATTTTATATAGACATGAGAGAAAGGCAAATTGCAATATATAAGAACGAAAGAAATTTTGAAATACACGTGGGAAGATGTGAAGTTGCTTAATATAACTTTTCATACCAAGAGGTAAATGATCATCTCTGATCAAAGTACATGTTGCAATGACGAAAATGTACGGGTAGTGGAGCATTCTACAGCCTGCAGGAGCAACATTTCATAATAATTAAGCAATGAAACGTATCCTACCATTTATTTTGTTAACGTTTAGTCAGTTTGAACTGTTATATATGTTTTACTTGTCCTTTTAAAAATTGTTTTGATTATTTTTACTCTAGTAGGTTCGTAGAATGATTATTATTACATGATATTCCTTCATGAATATATCAAATCTGCATTGTAAAATAAAACGACTTTAATATATTCCGATTTGGCTATCACAAATGTTGCCCAGATGCAAATTTTTTTTCTGATGTTATGAAACCTGATCAGACGAATTTCTTTTAATGTAGCAAGATAGAGAATATTGCCTACAACTTATTCACATGTGGTTCAAAAAATAATCATATATTATTGTTTTGTAATCATAAAAAACATTAGAAACTATAAACCTCTGAGTACTCAAATGAATAAGCAGAAACACTTTAATTGAGATTTTCTTTCTCAAATTAGCCCACAAAGAACTAGTTTCATAGTGTAACAGATGCAGAGTTTTTCGAACTATCCATTTTTATATTAATGCATTATATGCTTACTTCTTATTGTTTTGTAAAAGAAAAAAAGTAACAAAATGCATTTATGGCTAGTGAGATGATATCTTGTTTCGAAGGTTAGCTTCAAGTCTTGACCTCAGAAAGTAGTTGTTGTTATATATTAGAGGATGTAGAATTTCAAGTTCTAGAAGATGAGTTTTTATCACCTAGTTGTTTTGACTTTTGTACGACTTCGTTTCAAAATATGACTTTGCACCCAAACAATTGATATTATTAGTGTAATGTGTTTTGGTGCCTTGTTTGGATTATGGCAGGAAAACTGACTTGAAGATATTTATCATAAAGCAGATCTTGATCTAAACATAGCAATTGAAACTAGAGAAATTTTAGAATCTTTCAAGTTTTGAACGGGTTCTTGGAAGTTGATTAGACTAGTCAAATAATGACTAATAATGTGACGGCATTTTCTCTGTTCAACCTGTTATAACATGCTCGAATTAGACATTTCATCTGTTTCATATGAGTTTAAAACTACTTTTATCATGTTTTTCTAAAGACTGACAAGTGAAGACGAGTAGTAAAGTCTCATAGAACGGTTGTTCGATAAGAGTAAGAAGCATCATCAACCTATAATTTTTATTAAATGATTACGTTAGATTGCAACAGTTTCTTTGTATTTCCTTTCTAAATCAATTAAAAAGATCGACGCAATTAAATCATGATGTTTATAACTTCCTTATACTTCATATCAGAAACTAAATCATATTATCATTCTTTCAAGTATACAAAGATAAAAAATTTTCCCTGACTGATATTTTTATCAATAATTATTTACTTTATTCATCTTATATGTAACAATCTTTCTATTTTTCGTTAAAATAACTTGTTTTTCTTGCTTTATTTTAAAATTCAAAAATATTAAATTCTAATTTAATATTTCAATACTACACAAGGAGATACTATAATACAATTTGCATGAATAAGATAAACGATCAAAAAGAAAAATTATTAAAAGAAAAAGAAATCAGTCATTTTTTTCATTGAAATCAAACTGTTTATACAGGAAACAATGAAAAATAATAACAGATTTCTAATATACTTAGGTCAATCCAAAAGTTCTGTCGGAGATACCTTATTTTCGAATAGTAAGCTCAAAAAAGTTTTCTTTTTTTATGCAATGATAGAGAAAATGATGTTCTATTTTTCTATGCTATTTGATCAATCTTCAACTATTATCAAAATAGTAAAATTTTGCTAAGAACTGTTTTTGTGTGAAACTTGAACTTGTTTTAAAAAAATAATGATCGTCAACATTTTTTGCAATAACTCAAGAATGAAAAGAGCTAGAGAGCTGCAGTTTTCATTGTTTGAAAGAGGAGAAGAAAATGCATCGAATTCCATATTGTCGGCTTGTTTGACCTAATTTTTATAAGATGTTCACTTGACCTCTTTAAAAACAAACCTAACCGGTGAGGTGTTTACAACGAATTTTCAATTGTCAAGTATGTATTCAAACCGTCAATGGAAGATCTAAAAAGCTGTACAATGATTAGATGTTTAGAATTAGTCATTCAGGAGTTATAGGTATTCTAGTTAGAGCTTTAAGTGATTATTTGTAGCAATTCCTGTAAAAAAAGGAATTTTATTGCTGTTTCTTACAGTTAAAAAAATTTTCGGCACGTAAAAATTTGATCAAGCAAACTTCAGACAGTATACTAGAAAAAATTGTAATATACAATTCGGTACATCTTCTTCTTCTCGTTCAAACAATGAAAGCTGCAGCTCTCTAGGTCTTTTTATTCTTGAGTTATTGCAAAAAATGTTGACGATCATTATTTTTTTAAAACAAGTTCAAGTTTCACACAAAAACAGTTCTTAGCAAAATTTTACTATTTTGATAATAGTTGAAGATTGATCAAATAGCATAGAAAAATAGAACATTGTTTTCTCTATCATTGCATAAAAAAAGAAAACTTTTTTGAGCTTACTATTCGAAAATAAGGTATCTCCGACAGAACTTTTGGATTGACCTAAGTATACAGTTTTTCATTCATACATATACATTCTAACACTAAAATTCGATGAATTGTCAGAAAAATGTCATATCACAATGATGTAAGTTATGATACAAATTTTATCATATAACAAAATTAAAGTACACGATGAAAGAATATCGAAAAAATAATTTTTTTTATTTGCCTGTCGGTTTGTAAAAACACGTTGTGACAAATTTTTGTTTATAACGAGCTGTTGTACTTAATACCATTACACCATCCTAAAGATTAAACAATTATTTCTATAGAATTTCTAAGAATAACTTACGCGAATCGATAATGCATAAAGATGTTTTAACATAACATGATTTGGTTCAGGTAATAAGGCAGGTTCATACTAATAAAAAAAAATATGAAAACTCTATTAAATTATTTCTTACATAGAAAAAAAAAATTTACATGAGCAGATGTATCTTTATTAAGAATAATATTGAGAAGATGTGGTGGTAAAACTGGTGGTTTATCTCCCGGTGGAAATTCTTCGCGACTTGTTGGTGGCCAAGTTTGATCATAAAGACCAGGTGGTGAACGAGCCATTTGAGGATCATTAGCTATTGAATAGAAATAATTCGAAATTAAAAGCAAACGTTGCCAAGCTACAGGTTATCGACCATACTAATTCTAAATATGATCGTACGAAATCCTTTAGGTCTTCATATGCTGATTTTTCAGACAAATAAACATTTTTGCCAAAATCGTTTTAGATCTAATTAGATTATATATACATTGACTGATACAATGGATAGTTTCAATAAAGTACGTCGGTATGGCTTATTTTCTATAATACAACATATTTTGTTTTGAATAAAAATATTATTAGCTTGAGTCGAAAAAGCTTTTATTTTAAAAATTAACAAACGTGATATTATCCGATACAGTTTTTCGTGGTGATGACCAATATGTCCTTATTTTTCTGTTAAAATACTTTTAAGACAAAACAACGTAGAAAAACTTAAAAACAAAGTGTGTTTTAGGTCTCATCGAGCTTGAAATAATGCACATCGACTATACTGAATATGTTTTTTGTTTTAGAAAACTCTCAGTTCAAGAAGGAAAAAAAATACTTTTCTCTAAGATGGCTGAAACTTGGCCATAATTTTCTGAACGTAGGATTTCTCTACACCATGAAAGAGGTTTGCCTGATTCGAAGAAGTGCCGAAGTGTTGATATGTATCTGTTGTATGAATTCAAATGTATCATTCTGCAAAGAAAAATGATTTGAAATCGAAAAAATTACTCATCTCTAGACAACTAGATATGATCTATAATCTGAACAGATCAAAAAGAATTTTAGGCGAAACAGTTCGTTAGTCTACTAAATTAGTATATGAAAATTTGAGGGTATTTCTCTTAGAATTAGCATAGTCAATAATCTATAATACAATAACTTTCTGTGAGAATGTAATTGATCAGTTGAAAATGTTATCTTGTTAGAAAGATTTACCTTTTTGTTTATTTGAATTTGAGCTTTGAGTATTAGCTAAAATAGAATCCGATGTAAGTGCTTCCATAACTTCAAAATCACTTTTTTTTACAGTAACAACATTACTACGACCATTTTGACCATCTTCTACTGATGGCTGTAAAAAAAAGACAAACGAATAATAATTTTAATTTTAAATTGAAAAACAAAACACACTAAGTTTTATTTACCTCGTTTAAATCATATTCCCATCGGCCATCAATAATGAATTTATATTCATGTTTACCTTCGGGTAATTCCAGAATAGCAACAAAATCATTATCACTAGAGAATAACATATCGTATTTTAATATTATTGATAATAAAAAAACAAAGAAATCTACCTTTTAACCATTGCTATTGTTTCTTTCCAATTAGTAAATGAACCGAATAATAAAGCTTCTTTATCTTTTGGTGAAGCTGGATATTTGAAAACAACTGGTATTGTTTTTTTTTCATTTTGTATGTCTGTATTTACAGCTTGTTGTGTATGATGTTGTTGCATTTGACGCTGACGTATACGTATCGGTAAACTTGAGTTTTGTCTTGATGAGATCTGGTTATTACAAGAAATAAATAACGAGAGAATTCTGTGTTTTATTCTATAAATTTGTCAACATTACTCGTTCGTCAAATGATGATAGATTACTATTCATTATTGACTCATTGTCAAGAGTGACAAAACGACCATCTTCGCCATCTCGCTCGTATCGTGTATAGGTATCGCTACGAATACGACCTGTTTGCTGTTGATTACCCATCAGCTAACAGAATAAAATAAACAAAACAATATTGATGCTTTGGCTAGTCTGACAATAATAAGAACGAGTTATTTTAATAACTCACCGAATAGTCTACAAGCTGTTAGTATTTGTAGATTTTTTTTCTAGTCTAAAATAATAATCAAACAAATAATCCCATTTTTTTTTCAAAAGTTCACTTGTTTAAACATACAATTCTTGTCTTTTCGCTTCCGATATTTTGTTTTCGCTCAATAATAAGAAGAAGAAAAAAAAGAAACTCGTTTCTCACTCACACTCTTGTTTCTGTTTTATAATACGTATGCATGACATAATACACCAAAAAAAAAAAAGAAAGAAGACATTAGTACGTCGTGCGCGCATATCGTTCATCTATTAAATGCCTCTCGTTGTTTTTTTTTCTCTTTCATTTCCGTATGTGCAAAGAAAAATTGCAATCATACAACAAAATCACAACGAATCTTTGTTCATGAAAAATAGATCCACCACAAGAAAAAGAAAAAAGAAATCAAAGCATTTATGCGCAACACAAGTTAAACAAAAGAATAAATATCTTGGAGAAGAGATCAAATGAGGTAATAAGTTTTTAGTTATAATAATAGTAGCAATACAAAACAACGAGTAGAGCAGAAATATGTATATATACAACGCACATCAGAGAAAAACTGTACAAAGACACACACACACACAAAATAGACAAAAAAAAATTAACCACAAAAAGTGCACGTAAATCCTCCAAGTACTTTAATTAATGTTGTTAATTGTGTTGATTCATCAATAGTTGTATCACTAATATAAAAATTACATAATGAACAACGTTTTGCACGATCTTGAACAAATATTGGTAAAAATGTTTTATTACAACGTTGAAAATCATGACCATTTGGACATGTTACATCAAAAAATGTTCGAATATGTAATGTTTGTCCACATAATGGACAATGAAGATATTTTTGATCACATGTTGATAAATATTGACTATTGATTTGTGCTGGTGGTGTTGGTCCATTTGATATTGTTATTGGTGTTGTTGTCATATTTGGATTAGCCATAGCAAGTAATGAACCAAATTGTGCTGTTAAATTATTTCCTGTTATATTTGTATTTGTATTTCCATTATTATTTGTTGCATTAGCTGATGCTTGTAATTGTTGTGTTGAATATTGTAATAATTGTTCACACCAATAGAGTATAGATTTTTCAATAGGTGTTAATTGTATTTGTTGTTCAGTTTGTTGTTTTGTTTGAACATAATCATATAATTTTTTAATTAAATCAATTGATATCATTTGTGCAAATACATCAGCTAAAAATAACATATATGGAGCTTGTCTTAAACCATTACCAAGACCACTATTATGATATGATAATAAAAGACGACATAATGAATGAACTTTTTTTAATAGACTAACACTTGCTTGATCAGCACAATCAGCAACAGACATAATTAAATCAGTTAATGCATTGGATTTATCCGAATAAAGTAAAACACGTAATGCAGCTAAAACATCATTTAAACGAAATGATGGCAATGGATTTGAAAGAAAAAATGTTATTGTTGATGATACATCTTTTAATGAATAAACTGATAATGTTAATATAGCTTCATTACGTTTCATTGTTAATACAGTACAATGTGTGGGTGTTATACCAGCTGCTTGACAATCACTACCTGTTGAACGAAAAAAAAAAAAAGAAAAGTGTTTAATATTTATAGATAATAAAAGAAGGCTATAAGTTCACAAAGATTATTATATGATAAAGAGATTGATGATATTTGAGTAATAGGTTTCCATATATATGTTTGAATAAATTGAAATCGAAGATTTTCGATTGATTGTATGTCAAGTATGCATACAAGTGTTATTGTTGTAAAAAGAAAAGCTCTTATAAATCTATAATTCTCATATCTCAATCAATAAATTTTTTTCTTATTTAAAATATATATATCAGATCATCCGATCAGAACGATTAAGACTAACTGATTCATGATTCACTAATTTTTTTTTTCTCTTTTATTTATTAAATTCTTACCTGCTGGTAATAATTGACAAAATTGTTCAAATCTAGTTGTATGTTGTTGATGATGATGATGATGTGGATCATTAAATGTTTGTGTTACTTGTTTATGTATAAAACCATCTCGACATATTAAATATAAATCTTGTGTATCAGATAAAAAATGTGTTAATACACTTGAATTTAAAGCATATTCATTAACTGTTTTTATTGTAAACTGTGAACATGATGTATTATAACCTGTTGATGTTATATTTAATGTTGCTATAACAATGGAATCCATTTGAGCAAAAAATAATCGATGTTCATTATGTTGTTGATAAAGAGCAATATGATGTATACGTGCACCATTTGAAACAAGATGTGGAGATTCTTGTTTTGTATATGCAAGTAATGGTGCTGCTTCATTACCCGTTAATGATATTGATATAAGTGATACATGACCATGTGATGAACCAAGTGCTAATATACCAGCTGTATCGGATAGTGAAAGCCATGCCATAGCTGATATTGAATTATGTGGTGAACGATATGGTGAATCCATTTTTGAATTATGTAAACCATTGGACATAGTTGGTGAATGACCAGGTTTTTTTGTTCCATTAGTTGCTGATATTGATGGTTCAGTAGCATTTGGTTCAAGTAAAGCAGCATAAGTTAATGTGAGATTATTTGTTGGTTGCTGTTCGGATAACTGCCATATAGCTACATGACCAGATTCAAGACCACAGAAAAGAAGGACGAAACGAGATGGTGAATCACGACGAAGAACATTTGACCAACCCAAACAAGTTGGAACTAAAATATATTAAACAAAAACTTCTTCTATTATATTAGGATTTCTATTTCTTTTTCTTTCTTTTTTTTTTTCTCGTTCGATGTTATGTTCTCAATGATAGCGTGTATAATAAAAGAATAGTTCTTTCTTTTTTCTTCTTTCTCGAACACGAAAAAAAAACAGACAATAATTATTTTTTTCCTTTTTTTTTCCTTACATATTAGAAGAAGAAGAAAAAAAAGACAGCTGTCTAATTCTTTTCGAAATTCTTTTTCTGATGGGAAAAAAAAGACAGAAAAAAAGAAGAAAAAGAAAAATGTTTTTACTTTACAGGAAAAAAACAACGTGGAATAGAAAAAAGGAAATTAAGCCTTTTCTTTTATTCAATTTTTCTCTCTCTCGTTTTTAATACTCCTCTATTTAAATATTTAATAAAAATTTTATTCTTCTTACCAAGTAATGCTTCTTCATCCCGTGATAATCCTCCACTAGCTGATGTTGTTCCATTGCTAGTTGGTGTTTTTCGAGTATTTGTTGAATTGGCACCAGTGCCACCATTTCGTTCATCTAATTGTGATCTCCATCGTTTTGATACATTAAATAAAACTACTGGCGATTCTTGATTAGCATCACAGATGACAAGTTGACCAGTTGATGATGCAACAGCTAATAAACGAGCACCGTCTGGTCGTAATGAATCGGGACAAAAAAGTGCAAGAGGAGTATATGTGTAATATCGTAAATCGTCTTGTTCAAGATGTTGATCGAGTTGAAACCATGAAACAGTAAATAATTGAACTTTACGTGATGAATGACCACTAAATGTTAATAATGTAAAACCAGTCGACGATGCTATTGCAAAACGAGACCAATCGGAACATGAAATAGCGCCATCTTTGAGTGAGTCCGACGTTTGAAAGTGCTGCTCTTCAAGCAGCGAACAATCAAAGCCGCTCATTATATTTTATATAGTTGGCCGCAACTAAAAATACAAACATATGGGAAGAAAAAAAGAAATTTTTTTTTGTTTTTTTCTTTTGACAAGTTATATAAATGCAAAAAGAAACAAAAAAAAAATTATTAGTATAAAAGAGTAGATGAATATTAAAAATACCTGGTGATAATAATGATCAAGTCTAGAAATTTTGAAAATATTATTTTAATACAAATAGACAAAAAAAAAAAAACTCGAATATTTTTTCTTCTTTTTTTTTTTCTCTTGTCTCGTTCGGTTGTTGAAGGAATGGATAGATCAGAACGCAAAGGAAAGAATGAGCAACAGCAGGGGGCGGCAGAGAGGAAGAGAGAGAGACAATGGCGCTATGGGAAAAAAAAGATGAAGGCGACTCTACAGAACAAATCGTCGCCATTGTTTATGTATTCAAAACTCGATCATATATAGAACAAGAAGACTAAAAAATGAGATTCATTCATTTTTTATTATCATATTTTTTTGAATTAAAGGAATTATTGAGTTATATATGAAATCATATACGATAAATACAGATGTCACTATTATACTGAAGTATTCAATTAATCAAATAATCCGAAAATCCTATATCGCATAGAGTGCTTTATATCAATAGAGCAAAAGAAAAATCATTCTTCTCTCTTTTCAATCTAATCTATCATTCAGCCTGGAGAGTATATTTCATTACCTCTTGATAGTAAGTACTTTTTAATAATAATTAGACATTGTTGAATACGATCTTACATTTGGATTTATATGAACATTTGTTACTACTACAAACATACCCTTTCAGTTTATGTTTTGAATGTTATATCCAATACGTTTGATATAAATGCTTGACGAGTGAGGGGCTGTGATTTTTACTTCGTGTGTGAGTAAACTTTATTTTATTTACAAGATCAACTTATCTAATAATTTTCCTTTTTTTTTATTTTTTTCAAAAGTATAACAATGTCTAAAAGAAGAAAAAAAGAGTAACCTTGGTATCATTCAACAGATGTCAATAGTGATAGATTTCCAATTTGTTTGAACTAAAAATAGTTGTCTTTTATTATAATTTCTAATTTTGTTTTTTGTTCATTTATCATTCAAATATCTTTTTTTTTTCACGTCATATAATATGAAAAATTTCGAATTAAGTAAATGATCTTGATAGATGGCACTCAAAAAATTATCAAATATTTTAAAATATTTTAAAAATAACTTCTTCAAAATAATTTATTCTTCAAAATTGATATTTTTTTCATAATTATATACATTCTGTCGTTGAACTAACTCATGTAACGAGGCATCATACTTAATCAATGGAGACTAGTATTTTTTTTTTCATGTTAATGTTTGTTCTTAAGCTTTCTTTTTATTCTCTTTCTCGTGGGTTATTACTCAAGAGTTGTCTACGTGGCCAGGTATGCCACGAGTTCACATTAATCATAATGAAGAGATTTAAAAGGACGATTTCCATCCATTTTATAGTTCTTTAGATTTGAATATCGTCATTTTACTTTTCTTCATTTTACAAATATTCGATTAAACTACATAGAAATCAACAGTCATAATGGGAAATATATTTGCAAATCTTTTCAAAAATCTCTTCGGCAAAAAAGAGATGCGTATTTTAATGGTCGGTCTTGATGCTGCAGGTAAATTATAATCAAGATCTAAAACAAAAAATTTATATGAATTTATTTTAGGTAAAACAACAATTTTGTACAAATTGAAATTAGGTGAAATTGTTACTACCATTCCAACCATCGGTAAGTACTTTTAGTTCGTGCTGCACTTAAGACTATTATACATCTATATATATATATGATTATAGGGTTCAATGTTGAAACTGTCGAATATAAAAATATAAGTTTTACAGTATGGGATGTTGGTGGTCAAGTAAGTCATTTATTTATTGATAAAAAAGTAAAATTAATTTAATTTTTGTATGTTAGGATAAAATTCGACCATTATGGAGACATTACTTTCAAAATACACAAGGTATAAATTTCAATAAATTGTTAAATAAAATATTAAGTATTACTTTATTTTAGGTTTGATTTTTGTTGTCGATAGTAATGATCGAGAACGTGTTGGTGAAGCTCGTGATGAACTTCAACGTATGTTAGCAGAAGATGAATTACGAGATGCAGTTCTTTTGATATTTGCTAATAAACAGGTTAGTTTTATATTTAAATCATTTATTAAATTATCTTTTTCTTTTCTTTTTTTTTTATTGAAAAGGATTTACCAAATGCTATGAATGCTGCTGAAATAACCGATAAATTGGGTCTTCATTCATTGCGTAATCGTAATTGGTATATACAAGCAACATGTGCGACTAGTGGTGATGGTCTTTATGAAGGTCTTGATTGGCTTTCAAATCAGCTCAAGAATGCCAAATGAACATTTATGACGAATATTCATTTAGAGTGCTTGAAGATTGTCTTTTTTTTTCTTTTTTTCTTTGTCTTTTGCAAATATATTCCAACAAGATAAATATGATTGATATGTCTGTTTCTCTCTTTCTCATTCACAAAGAATTTTTTTCGAAAAAAAAAATCACATATACTATGGAATGGATATATTATGTATACGTACACGAGTTTTTACTTTATATTTATTTCATTCTTATTATTCTCTTACTTCAAGGTGTTCTAGTATATGTAAAACAAATCCTATTTATCTAATGATCACTTCAAGTGCCCATTTTTTTTGTTTCTGTTGTGGAATTTTTTCTCTTTCTATTTAAACTTATTCTTTTTTTTTTTTTCTTGGCACGTTTATTGTTCGTTGTTATTTGAAGAATTTATTGGCTTGTATTCTTGCCTGATGAGAGGAAATAAAAATAGATTATTGCGTGAACAAGAAAAAAAAAAAACCTTTTGAAAAATATTTAGATCAATAAAGATACATATACAAAAAAAGAATTTATGTTTGTTTTTTTTTCTTTTTTTTCGTTACTAAGAAAAGTAATTTATTCAATAATAAGATTGGTTAATCGAATAGATCTTTCATAAGAAAATGTTAGATCTAATCATGGAAGTACTTGAAGAAAAAACAACAAAAATAAAATAGTATCATATGACCTTCTAACTATAGATAAGATGTATACATAGGTGAAGTCATTGCTATTAATTCAATAGATAACATTTATTGTAACTTTTCTCTATTCTTAGATCATTCTTTTTTTTTTGTTGCATATGTCGGTTCGAGAACGTTGCCTAGCTTATTCTTCTTCATCGAGTGGCTATTGGAAACATTCTCTTAGTGATATTATAAGTGCACTTAAAACAGAAGATCATCCTGATCATCAAATATTTTCTACTGTTGCATGTACATTAATGATGAACGATAGACCTGGATATTGGCATTGGTTAGAAAATGCAATCGCCAAGCTTATTGATGATCCTAAATCACGATTGGATCCACTTCCTGATTTACCTGAATATGAGGAGATGAGCAATAAAGAATTACTTGATAAATATGAGGTTGGCGATGAAAATTATCCACGAACTGATATTTTAGGAGAACTAAAGTATCGATATCCATTATTAATTCAATCAGATGAAATTGAGTCAATTATTGATTTAAGAAATAAATTAAAAGATGTTATATAAGATCCAAAAAAGAACATTGTTTAAATATTTTTCTTTTATTCTAGATATTGGTTGAACTATGAGTGTTATTATCTATTTCTTTGCTTTAATATCGTTTCTTACATTCGAAACTAATGCTTGTAAGAAGTAATTTTGTTTATTAAATCATCTCTAATTTATTAGTATTTAAATAGATCGAGGCGATTTTATGACTAGTGTAAGAGATGGTTACAATCGATATGATCCAGATTCGACACTCAATGGATTTTTTCCATTTTGGGGTGTTGTTCTTTTGCTACTCTCATGTAAATATTGTCTCTCTATATTCTATTTTTCTCATTATTCAATCTTTCATTAATTTAGTTATATTTCTCTTGGTTGCTGGCCTTGGTCTTGTCGGTTATCTAGTTGGTTGTCGAGCACCACCAGAAAGTCTTCGTCAACAACTTGATCCGGCAACTTTTTATGCTTGAGAATACTTTGCAATGTTCATTTTCAATGTCAGATTTAAACATGTATAGATGTCGATAAATTTTCTTTTTTTAATTAGATAATTGTATCTCGTTTTTATTCCAAAATCGATTTTGTCAGATTTTTGTCTGTTTTTCTTAATATCTTTTTATAATAGCAATATAACGCGCCAATAGATTAGTCTATGCATCACTAAATTAATAAATTTTGTTTTTGTAAAAAAAAAAAACAATAAATATTTACTATGATAAACAATAATTTTCAAGAAGACTGTCTATGTCTTGGTGTTATTAATGGTTCGGCGAAAAGTTTTGCCAAAGAATATGATGCACGAGAAACAAATATACAAATTATTATTATTTGTATTGGTGTTTTTGCCTATAGTATCATTCAAGATTTTCTTCGTGCATTATTTCATACATTAAAAAGTTGACATATGTTGGAATTTTTTTGCATTATCAGTTAAACTATATTACATAACAAAACAAGACAGTTAACTTTTGTTTCACCTAAATATTTGCATTTGTCTTGTTGATAAGAAAAGTATCATTTGATTCGTAATTGTATTTTATTAAAGATGGTCTATTTTTGTATACGTGCACATTGTTTAGCTCAACAACAAGAATGGAAAAAAGACTATGAGGATATTAGTGGTTTGAAAAAAGATATATATGATCATTTTCAAGTATATAATATCAATGAGGAATCATCTGTTATTGTTTATTATGATGAAAAAGAAAAATGTGATCGTAGACTTGATAATTTAGATATTTTACTAAAAGATGATAATACTATATTTGATGTGTATGTCAAACGAGTAAGTTACTTTCGTGATATTTCTAAATGTGTTCTATCTATTTTCCTATAGATATGGGCTTGTTGTGGTGTTTGTTTTGGTCCATTTGATATTATACCTGATCGTCTTCCACTCGAATGTACTGAAAAACTTTGTAATGTGCAATGTTGTGTTAAATGTGTAGATATTATTTGTGAATTGAATAAGAATCGCAAGTTTACTTGTATGTTTTGTAACAAGACTGGTGATCGACCTAAACGCAATATTTTACTTGAAAATATTTTTTTGTGGAAACCATATACAATAAGATATGGTGCACATAGTACAGAACGTATAGAAACAATATTTAATGCACCTAATTTATCTGATGCTATTCATCGAATTGAAAATCGTCGAACACACATACAAACATTGCAAACTACATTGAAAATGCGTTTATCAACTCTCACAGAGACAGATTCTCATTCAGATAAGAGCACATATTATCTTATTGCAGCTGATCAATTAAGTGGCAAATTAGAAACATTTATAACACGATTGAGAATATGCGAACGAAATATAATATCACAATCAGTGTCTTTTCGAACTCTTGTAAATAATTATCGTAAATTGCTTCGAGATAGTATTTGCCAAAAGTCTTCAAAACAAGAAGCAGCTTCTTTTATTCTTTTATGTGAAAAACTATCGGCTTCTGATTACGAAACTATTGAACATATGATGACTATGAATGAACAATTGATCATAACTGAATCAAATTTGATTTCCATATATAATGCTAATAAATTGAAAGCTATAACTGTCAAAGAAAGTATTGCATGTGTTACGGATATACTTGAAGATATCGTTTATAGACGAAGTATTCTTCAAGAAAAACAGCAACAAGTAGCTGATTTATATTTAAATTCAATCAATCATCCATTTCACACATATTATGTTCATCAACATCAAAATGCAACAACAATGATTACTTCACTTGATGAATATGAAATAAAATTTATTTATTTTCGAGATATTTATAATGAAATTGATAGTATTATGCATGAATATAAAGATGAATTAACTAAAAAAACATTAGATGATACATCAAATGAACATACTTCATTGCCTACTTCAGAACAGATGGCTACATTTCAATGTTCAAGATTAATACTTATTTCTGAATTATTACGTTCTGAAACAGATCAAATTGAAATAGAAACTATTTTTCCTCGAATAACTAAACAAGTACAACAATGGCAACAAAGTCAAGTTAATGATCCTAAAATTTATGATCTATTTGCCACATTAGAACAAGATCTATTGTCTTTATATGATCCAAATCATTCTTTACTGCATCTAATTCCATTTCGAGTAGGTTTTATTGGAAATATTAGTGTTGGTAAAAGTTCTTTAGTTAATTATTTGCGTACTCAAAACTCGATATCAACATCTACTAATCGAACATTATCTCCAACAGCAGTTGGTCAATCAACTGTTGGATCATTACAATTCGACGAACAACATCTATGTTCTAAAACACAAACAGTGGTAACTATTCGTTATGTTGATATTGAAGGTTGTGCTGATTTTAGCGCCAAAGTGAAAGCTGCATCGTATTTTGAGCAAATCCAAAAAGCTGATTGTGATTTATATATTATTTTATATACTGGTCAACAAGTAAGTTTTGAACGTAAATTAGAAAAAGAAATTAAAGAACGACTGAATCGACCATGTTGGTATGTGCGATCGAAAGTTGATATAGAATTTGAAGAACATTTTAATGAAAAAATAAGACGACGAAAACTTGATTATCCTGATATTACAATTGAAGATAATGAAGAAAATGAATTTGCTGAACAAGTCGTTGAAATCATTCGAGAAAAAGCTATTGAAATATGTCAAACATCATCAGATAAAGTTTTTCTCATTAATTCTCTTTATTCAAATACAGAAGAAAATAATAAAGATAAAATTAATAGTAAAACACATCCATTTGATATCCATTTGCTTAGTCAACAATTGATCAATGCTGCTCAACAATCTTACACACAAGAACGTATTAAACGGATGGCTGCTATGACATGTGCTCGTATTATTGGTACTTGTTTTCGTCGACGATGTATTACATCATTTATTAGCCATGAATTTCTAGCAAGTGTTAGTGCAATATTAGTTCCATGGGGAGATCAAATAGCACTTGCTCATACACGTTTTGGTATTCGTACTGCACTTGGAGTACAAGATAGACCATCCCTATATAATCAATTGATGAAAAAAGTGGATGAATTTGAATCATTATTACTCAAGTATCCATTAAATATTGATCCAATGGATCTTAAATCTGATGCATTTAATTATTTAAAAACAACAGACTCAACAACAATGACCGGTATAATTCATAATAAAAATGAATACTCGGAAACACTGCATCTTGGACGCGAACCAAAAACCAATTCATCTATAGCAAGAAAACTGTCATCAGCAATACCAACTGGAGTATATGCATGTGGTTTAGTAGGAAAAAAAATAGCCGCTACTTTAGCTATCAGTTCATTGAGTTATGGCGTTGGTGTAGGTTTTCTTGGTTTAGGTATTGTTGCGGCCATTCCTATTGGCTTATGGGCATCGAAAACATCAGGCAAAGAAATACGTGACTATCTAGATAATCTTTGTGCTGATCTATTGATCATTTCAGAGCATTTTATTGTTGCAATTATTAATCAACAAGAATTCGACAGAGAATAATCCTAGTGTACACTGTAAACTAGAAAATAAGCTATAGAGTTTAATGAAGGATATTCTAGGAATGCCCATACGAATTCAACGATTAATTTCCACTTTCTTAAAAATAAACTATTGATATTCAAGTTTCGATTTTCTGCAGGAAATCAAATTGAATTTCTATTATTTAGAAAATTAAACATTTTCTGAAAGTTTGAAATTCGACGAATGTATAATAAAATTTTGAAAATGTTTTAGCTTATTTAAAGTTGATTTTCTACAAAACAGAATTTAAATAAAATTTACAGTGTGAAAAATCTTCTGTCAAACGAAAATAAACATGGTTGCCTTTATCCATCTAGAAGAACATTAATTATCGATTTTTCAATTAAAAAAGATTAAATCATCAAAGTCAATCGAATATCATCTATAATAATGGTACCTGCATCAATGGATGGCAGTGTTCCTCTTACGATAGAGACATTGGTCGATTTTTTTGTTGAAGCTATTGATTCCACTCAACAATTGATCGATGATTTTATTTGTGATCATTCGTATGCAATTGATTGCACTATTCAACTGACTACATCAAAAGTACAAAAAAAAACTATATTGTACAGACTTGATCTTTATGAAATTAACTGATTTCATATCTGCAAATACAAAACTAAACCTATAAAAAATCTCATTTTTTCTTCTTTGTCATTACCGCTATTTCAGCATAATATAGACTGAAGCATTTTGGGCGTACAGTGATCAAAAATTTATCGGACTGCTTTTATTTAAAAACAACAAGAATCGTTGTTGCATTAATATTCTTCCTTTGTATAGTGTGTAGAGTCTTCTATGTATAGACACGATAAGTTTTTTTGAATGCAACATATACACAAATATGAAAATATATTCTAGACCACTCTCTATACAATGACAGAAGATTACGAAAGGTGACCATTATTTAAGGAGGGACCACGTAGTGATGAGCAGGCGGGAAAAAATTTCCATAACTACTTGGGACCGACGGTGCATAGATATTGTTCTACATATGGATAGTCTGGGGCGTTTTTCCGGGTGCGTGGGAGCATCGCTAAAAATGATCGATACTTTTCGTTCATCTACATATGCACTATGAAGTATATATTGATTGATTCATTATTTTCAAGCTATTAGCTACAAATTTCTTTGTTCTTTGTTTTTTCTGTTTTGATCTACTGCCTTGATCTTTGCTTCCAAGGCGCTGAACTTTTAGTTGTCGATTCTAAATACACTATATAACGATATATTGTAACACAACACACACCATCTGTTACGATTCATATAATTCAGAATCAGCATAATATGAATAATAATTTCTGCCAAACTTTATGCTGATCTTTTTACGACAAATTAGTAGATGACACTCTGTCCTAATTGTTTGTTAAACAAGCAGAATGTTAAACTATCAAAACGCGCGAAGATATTTTAACTCTTAAAAAGTTCTCAGATTTCAGTCAAAATCATGGCTTTCCATGTTTCTAAGTAGGATCTGGGTGCGAGTGAAGAGAAAACTTAGGCTCACACTCATCTACATTCACACCAACACCCTGTTTCCCATCCATACTCACAGCCACCAACACTTACATCCACATCCACACCCATTCACCCCTTAGAAAAAAATTAATTTAACCCTTTGAGGACGGAATTTTTTTTAAACGAAAAATCGGTTTTCGACCTTTTTATTTTATTTTAAATCAAAATGGCTACATAAAAATCTTATGATTATCAAAAAAACAATTCTTTTCATCTTTTAAACAAAATCTTTTTTGCTCACATCCTTGCAGTTACTGATTTTCTTCTGCTTGTTACTTTGTTTCTTTCCTATTCTATAAACGTTTGTTTGATCAGTAATCAGACTTAAAATTTCTTCGGTAAAAAAAAGTTCTAAAGACTGAAATTGAAGTTAGGTCTTTGAGAGAGATTGAGGTAAAGCCACCATGCGTGACATAAATTGCATTTATTGAATGCAGTACTTCTTCATATACATCCAAATCATCATCAGAGTTCAAGCGCATCTAAGTTATTGACTAGTTCGTCGAAATCGAAGTCACTCTCGCTAGTGTCATCACTGGCAGATGAATCACAGGACTCGTCATTGAATTCATTATTTCCATAGAATTCCATTTATTTAGTTTTAATGGTACAAACGGTATAAAGAAATAGAGTACAAGTTAGAAGGAAAAATGATATGCTTCTCAAATTTAAGGACAAGGTAAATTCGTCAATGCGAACGAGAATATATATACGCCCAATAATGAATGAGAATATTCTCAAAAACAAAAGATCAGAGGAGAAGAGAAAAAGTATGACGTCATTGTATCTCAACAGCAAGAACAAGAAATATTTGAAAAGAACTTATACGAGACAGAGAAAGAAAGAAAAGAAAAGTATGAGATGATAAATGCAGTTGTTTATGACCTTAATGGCCTCACATATTTAATAGTTTAATGTAAAATAAACACTTTTTTCTTTACTGAAAAATAGGTGGTCCAAAAATGGACCACCCGTCCTCAAAGGGTTAAATAAGCTTATTGTTTAATATGAAATGATGAATTTCATGATTTGATATCATTTCTTAATAGTTTAATAAAATGGATTATTGTATACATGTTAAATTAAATATTGTGTACGTAGGTTGTCTATAACAAGAATGAAAGACATTTAACTCAAAATAACATCTACATCGGCTTCATATTCTCGTCTAAATTAACACATATCGTGACACTTTGCTTCCCGACACTGCCACGCGTGGAAAACAAAGACACTCACATAGTGATTCTGCAATATTTTGTTTAAGCTCGTCGGGATACTCTTTGCTCGTTGTATAGCATTGGTTTGCCTTTTTGTATCATAAACAAAGGAAAATGCCTCAGCTTTGATTTCTTCCTCGCCACTATATGATCCGCTACTGGTTCATAACTTAATAACTCGTATTCAATCACCATTGTTACATTTGGCTTCTGTTAACTTCTCTCCACTGAATGAGCAGACCCTGCCTGATGCTATCAACCTATGAACCACAGAAGAATCCTCTGGAAAAGTCTCTCTAAAGTTGGTCATAGTTTCACTTGCAGAGAGGGTCATTGTTTTCCCGCCAAGACCAATAACTTGAATCAAAATTACCAGATTTATTGAACATATAATGCAACTACTACGTTCATTCAAAGTTCACCTGTCCAACCAGTCGATTCTCACAAAAAAAGAGGCGACTTTAAGAATATATATTCAGTTAAAACAAAGGTGGAATATATCAATGACTAAATAAATATTACTCATTCAACATATACCCACTAATATGCTTAAAAAACAGAGAGAAAACATCAGTCATACATCTATGTAAATATAGCAGTTTCACAACAGCAAGGACCACAAGAAACACAAGGGCCATTACCGATAGCCATTATACCATAAAAGAATAAATATATAAACAAATATAGACCACTTGAAACAAGGATGTGGGGTACGAGTATAGGTGTGGGTATGAGTGTGGGTGTAGATACTAATGTAGGTGAATGTGAGTGTTAGCCTTTTCAGTTCATACTCAAAAGAAAAATACACACCCATAACCCATACTCTCGTATAGAAAGTGATCTAATTCCTAGTAAAAGAATAGACAAAGGAAAAGTAACAACTAACTAAAAGGCACTTATAGAATAGCTCAGAAATTAGTGTATTCTTCCGAGTAAACTTCAAAAAATACGTTAACTGTTATCTTGAGGTTGTTACTGTCATGATATTTTATATTATTTTGGTTGTATATTTGAATAAATCTCTTCTCATCAGAGATTGAAGAAAATCTTTTATGAAACACTAATCAATACAGAGTGTTTCAAACGCTATGAACCTTGATAAAAACTAACGTATATACAGAAAAAGAATGCTCTCTAATCTGATGTATTTATATGAAGTTTGAATACTCGTGTCAATATTTTCTATGATATAGATATCAGATGAATTCTTCGCTTGTAAGACTAGCGATATAAATATAAGAATATAAGATTCGATTTTTCAAAACTGACCATCCATATTTTGTTATTCGAATAATGATCGTATTTAAGATAAAATGTATATTAGAAACCAATTAGTAGTTGTTGTAATGGTTTATTTGACACTTTTATCATGAGCCATTGATTAGATAATTATTTTGTGTATATCATAGTCAAATAGCTCATACTGAATTAAAATACAAAAGAACACGTCTGCAACGAAACAGCAAAACACTTCAAAATGGAAAATCCTTGTTTTATATATCAGGTTCATCTATTTCTCGTAGTTTGGACTGATCATTTTGCATGTAGTTTGACTGATCATTTAAGCTGTAACTGATGAATAGTCAACTATCGAGAGAATATTGAATAGTATGAATGCGAATCTTCGATTCATTGACATTTACATGCCGTACTGCTAGCACCCAAGCCAACTACTTTTCAATTAAGCTATCATCACGCTCACTTGTTTTATAATAAATGTATCGAAATTTCTTTGTTACAAATCATAGAATAGAAAAGTTAAGATAATTCTTTTTTCAAATTTTTGGTGTGTTCAAAGGTTTTCCATTGGTAATAAATGCATGCATATTTTCAAAAGTCACCTTAGCTATTGAACACAATGCTTCATGTGTAAGAAAAGCTTGATGAGCAGTAAGAATAACATTTGGATATGACATCAATTGAGTGAGTATATCATCATCAATAATATTTGATGAAAAATCATTGAAAAAATATTTTTGTTCATATTCATATACATCAAGACCAGCTCCACCTACTTGACCAGATTTGAGAGCATCAATAAGTGCCTTTGTATCAATAAGACCACCACGAGATGTATTTACTAAAATAACACCTTTTTTCATTTTTTGTATTGATTGTGCATTAATTAAATGTTTAGTTTTATGATCAAGTGGTAAATGAATTGAAATAATATCAGCTTGGGCATAAATATCATCTAATTCAACATATTCAAAACCTAATGCATTTCGATCTTCATCTTTTATTTTATATATATCATATGCAACAACTCGACAACCGAAACCACGAAAAATTCGAATAGTAAATTGACCAATACGACCTGTACCTAGAAAACATTTTTTCTATCTTTTTCAATCAATACTTTTGTCATTAAATATATTACCAAGTACTCCTACAGTTTTTCCATTCATATCAAATCCAACAAGACCATCAAGTCGAAAATCTCCGTTTCGAACTCGATTATATGCATGATGTATACGACGATTTAAAGTCATAACAAGTGCAGCTGCATGTTCAGCAACAGCATTTGGTGAATAACTAGGGACATAACCAATTTCTATACTGAATTCTTCGGCTGATTTTAAATCAACATTATTAAAACCAGCACAACGTAGTAGAATAAGTTTAATACCAATATGTTTTAATTTTTCAAGAATTTCACGTGATCCATCATCATTAACAAAAATACAAATGCATGTATAACCAGAAGCTTGTTTAACAGAATCTTTTGAAAGACGTTGCTGAGTATAATTGATTTCATATTTATCAGGTTGTTTTAAATCTTTAAGTTTAGCATCAAATGATAGTTTATCGTATTCTTTAGTACTATACATTAGTATACGAAAAACGGAATTTTTATCGATACTATTTGATAATGTAGAATCATTATTTCGACGTTTCATTAATATTATATGAATGTATCAAATAAAATAAGAATAAAATAAGTCACAAAGAATAGAATCTTAGCAACTGATTAATAAATTTTAAAAAAAATTATTTTTAATCATCTCATTGTTTTCGACAAAAAGTTGTAGTCTCCTTCAGATCACTTGGAAAATCGACTTTCGACTTCAAAGTTTGAACGAACAAAGCTCTTGATGAGCTTAGTTCATCGGACAAGTTATAACTTTTCTAGTGTCTCTTGTCCTGAAATATTCAATATTCGAAATTCTCTGATTTGTAAAGACAAATTTTACTCATCGATTCACATCTCCTGGATCCACGTGACTCAGAAGAACTATAACTTTTTATTGAAAAAACCAAGTCAAAGTTCGAGATTTCGAGAACGAAATTCCACAAAACAAACCACTCTAGACTTCTCTATGACTCAGCACATGAAAATTGTTTCAGGCGAAAAGTCATTTCGCATCTAGAGAAATTCTCTCATCAGACAATATAGTTCTCAACTTCAAATTCTATTTTCCTAAGTAACTGTCAATCATCAAAATGTTCAACTATGTTTTTCTATTGCACTGATTTGTTGTTTCAGTATAATTGGTTTAGTTGTAAATTTATTTTTAATATCAAATATTGATTTTTCGTATTCTCAAAAACACTATTATCATATATCAGTTTTGTTTCTTTAATAGATCTTATTTATGTTGAAGTTCTGAAGGGTTTCCAAGGAATAGTGTATTGAGACGAAAGATTTTTGCGTTTTTGTTGAAATTTCGAACTCATTTTCTTGATATTTAGTAAATATTTTTTCAATACGTTTGAGTTTATACAAAGCACCTCTACAAATAGTTGACTATTTTTTGAAGTATTGAACTGTTCATTTTTTTATCAAACAAGAGATTCAATCTGTACAATAAATACCTACAGAAAATTTTGTGTTGCCAAATGAACTATTTTTATCCTTGTTAATTAAATTTCACAAGATTTGAAATCTTCTGGCTCACAATCAATTTTAATTGACATGTTTACTTATTTTACACATAACTGTATCAATAGTCTTCCAAAAACCTACAAAATTAGCCTCTTGTAATGCAGAAACTATTAGAGGGTGTAGATTGACTCTAATTTTCATCTAAATCACAAAAAATGAATACAATGAAACATTCATTTCTTTCTTGATAATCAAATAGACTGCTTATGTATGCGTGTTGCTATTCTTTTTTTTATTTATTAATTTTTTGTTATCGGATCAAATACAACGTGCAGGTGTTTCGTGCGTATAAGTAAGCAAGAGAGGCACACATATTGTTCTTATTTTTTTATGAGACAATGCTCATTCGAAAACAAAAAAAAACAAGCTAAATTAAACTTCTTAGTTGTTTCTGGTCTATTGAAAACTTTTGTCACCTAAACCAACAGTGTATTTCTTATGTGTATTGGCAAGATGATCACTATATTCTTGAAATGGTGCTTTGGTATATACTGTTTCTTTCCATAGATCAGGTGTTAAATATGAATATGTCATGGCCATCGCTTCATATGTTGCTTTAGCTATAAAACAAAACAAAAACAGATTAATGTGATTTATACAAAAAGAAAACATACCGAAATTGCCAAGTGTAGCAGTACATCCTTTAGCAGCTGTCCAACAATCTTGAATACCAGCCATTTGTAAAAGTTTTTTTGGTACTGGAGCGCATACAAGACTTGTACCACGAGGAGCTGGAATTAAACGTACGAGTACACTACCACATGAGCCTGTTACCTAAAGTTACTATAAAATAGAATTGATAATCATTTCATAGATATTTAAACATACTTTGCATGGTACTGTATGTGGTAAACCAATTTTGTTACCCCAATAACCTCGTCGTACAGGAATAACAGAAAGTTTGGCAAGAACAATGGCACCGCGAATAGCTGTTGCTACTTCTTTTGAACATTTAACACCAAGACCAATATGACCGTTACCATCACCAACAACAACAATGGCTTTGAAACGAGTACGTTGACCGGCTCGAGTTTGTTTTTGTACGGGCATAATTTTAAGTACCTCATCTTTAAGACTAGGTAAGAGACGATCGATAATATCGGCTTCCTAAAAGTTATTCAACGATTAAAATATATAAAACACAAAAACAACTCAACAAACTTTGATAGGTAATGAAAATAGATAAATTTCTTCGAGTGACCGAATTTTGCCATCGTTAACTAATCTACCTAATTTTGTTACAGGAACCCATGCTTTAGTTGAATCTTCTTTTGGACGTTGACCACGACGGCCACGACCTCGACCACGGCCTAAATAAATTTTTCTTACAAGAATTCAATTTAAAAAAATTTTCTATTTACTTTCACCACGGCCTCGACCGCGACCTTGGCCACCTTCACCACGAAAACCACCGGAACGGCCTGTAAAGATAAAAGTAAATCTTTGAAAAAAAGAATTTTTTTTCTACTATCGAATACTTTCACCGCCACGTCCTAAAATTCAAAAGACAATTATAAAAAAATCTTTTACAATGAACTATCATATGTACCCCCTCGTGTACCAAAGCCACCTCGAGTTCCACCACGTTCTGCCATATTGGATCTTTTACTATATAATTATCTGAAAACAGAAACAAAGCTTAAAATCATAAATCGAGAAAACCAAACAAATTTTTTATTGATCAGAAAAAAATAATTGTTTTGTATTTAAATAAATTTTTTCACATAATTCCTCAAATGATTCTTGATTATCACGAATTGAATGAATTACTTCACATATTTGACTAAAAACAAAACATTCGTGACATAAAAAATAATTTTAAATATTTATAATAACTTACATAATTGTACATGGTTCATTTCGATCTTTAATCATTTTTCCTGATGTCCATTTTTCTTTTTTAACCATTTCTGATGTAAATTGTGTTTTAATATGTGAATGAGATGTATGAGATGGTTTGATTCCACACCATGGTGCATCTACAATAATCATTTCATTTACATAACAAACGATTTAACAAGAACTGGACGAGTTTGAGTCATTCATTCAAAAAAGCAAAAGTTGATAATGCAACACTAAAATTAGTTTTCCGAAGAAATTCTAACTTCAATAAAACATTAATTTAAATGTTTGTGAATGTTTTTTCTACTGTTTTATGGTACTGTATCAAAGAGAAGTTTTGATGTTACTGCTCCTCTTTTGTTTTGGTGCATTAAAGTTAGAAAGAAGGAGAATATTCCTGTCTTTTGGCAGATTTAATAGCTCGATATTTTCTCTACACCTCATTCTAGCTGTAGTTCTGGACAGAGGGCCAGCTTGGAGCAGAGTTCTTGCACTCAATTACTTTATCTGCCCATGTATACTAACTACAAAAGCAGATGTATAGTGCAATGTAATCATTACTATTGAATAGATGATAGAAGATGAAAAGTCATTAATGATTTGCCCAGGGTTATTTCATGGTAGGTAGTACCCAAGTTTGAGTAAACTTTGTGTAGATAAAGAAATTAGCTAGACTAGGACAATACATGTAAAAAATATTAATGTTCTTTACAAAAATAAATAGAAAACGAAAAAATGATAAAAATAACTTGACTCGTCCAATTCTCTTTAATATATACCTGTTTCAACAAGAATTTTATCTAATGGTAATTGTTTAATAACATCTAAATTAGTTTGTGTTTTCATGGAACAACCATTTAATCCAATAAAATAACCTAATTGAATGAATAGAAGTGCTTCATCCAGAGTACCATCAAATGAATGTATCTAATCGATATAAAAATTTTTTTTTTCATTGTTATATTATTATCATTCAACATACAACTCCACCCTTTGTTATTTGATCTCGATATTTATATAAAATATTATAGAGATCTTGTGATGCAGCTCGATTATGAAGAAATAATGGTTTATTTAATGATATTAAATGTTTCAACTGAAATTCAAAATAACTAATAAAGAATAATATTTATCATATTTGAAAATTTTATCTCAATTATTTTCAAAATGTCATTTTTTTTCAAAAATATTTACCGTTTTTGTTGTTCAATATTACAAAATTGTGTTCGTTCATAATCTAATCCAAATTCACCAATAGCAACAATTTTTTCAGAATTTTTCTGATATAATTCAATTATTTGATTAAGAATTTCATTTTCATTAGATTCATTAAATTCGCTACATCGAGTTGGATGATAACCACAAGTTGTATACAAATTTTCTATAGAATATATATATATTCATACAAAAAGATACATAAAACAAAAATACGCATATTACCATATTTTGAACATAATTCTAATGCTTGAATTGTTTCATGATGAGTACCAGCAGTAATAATAATCTAAACAATAAGAAAAAAACATGAATAAGAAAAAATCAATAAACTAAATACTTTATCAAGACCAGATTGAAATGCTCGTTTAATTACTTGATCAAGATCAGCTAAAAATCTTACACATAAATATACATATATATATAAATCTTTAGTTAGTAATTACAATCATGTTTTTTCGAACTACCATAAACACCTTGGTACATTCCATCTGCAAAGAACGTGTTTTTTTTTAATAATAATAATTTAATTGACCAAAATTTTATTCATACCAGTTAGATTAGCACCAATGTCTATGAAAGAAAAAAAAGATAATAATACAATGTTTTGATGTTGTTGTTATGTTTTATGGTGAAAGTTTTCGAACTGCGAAATCCCTTTTGGAGTTCAGACTATGTGCATTATATAAGATCCAAATGAACTATGAATATCCTGAAAAGACTTTGTATCCTTAGCTTATACCTGCAGTTTTACGGTAGTTTGAAATTAATTGTTTCTTAAGACAAAAACAACGACAAGATCTGAAACATAGACAGAAACCTAGTCTCTGTCTCTATGCTAAGTTTCAAATATGGATCACAGCATTCATTTGAAAAAATGTCATAAAATTGCAATAGCTCCTCAATAATAAGTTAAGAACATTAACTGTTTTCAGAGTATTCATACCTTATTTGGATCTATATAATATATATAATCTCGACTAAAAATCGATTTACCTGTTGCAAAATGACATTTTTTTAGAAATAGCAAGAAGGAATTATTTTCCATATATTCAAAATATTTTTTCTACTAAACCGTGATCTATGAAGTGTTGACTAACATATGATTCATATTGTAATATTCATGTGTATCAGCGATTTACTTTTATTGAGCTTTTTTTATAAGATTTTTAGTTTTTATTATTGATCGAAAGTTCCATTTGTTAATGATCTCTTTTAGAACTTTGTTTTTCTTTATATTTTCTTGTGCATCTATTAACTTTCTACGAGTTCTGCTTCTTCTTCTCTGTTATTATTATCAGAAAATGAAAAAAAAAAAACGAGAATTTTTCTTTTCTTTTCTTTTTTATCTGAAACATAAAGACTTTGTATGCGTACGTGACGAGTGTGGAGCTTAGCAACAGAACAAACACACATACGACTCGTTGTTAATCACACATTTACGATTGAAGCATCGTGCTGTTGGTTGTCTCAACATATAAATCTAAACGAACAATAATCGTCTTCACCACTAATTTAGATTTGGTAAAGTAGAACAAAAAAACATTATGTTGTATATGCCAGCAACAACAACAGCAACACCAGTTGTACTTCAAGAAACGCAACAAATTCCATTGCAATCATCATCACGTTATTATATGTTACAATCGGCGCCTATTATTCCAGCCGTACCAATTCTTAATACAACATATGTTTATCCACGATACGGTTTCGTACCAAAACCAGTTGAAACATCTGTTACAAAAGAGGAAATTGAAAAATCGCAACCAACACAAATATTTGAAGGTCTATTGTTTTCTTCTTGTTCTACTTCACGTATTCATTCTAACAAAGTTGTTTTCTTTTTTCGTATTTATTTTATAGTTGCACAGCCTGTTCAACATGTCGTACATCATCATGTTCAACCATGTACAATAAAAACATGTCCTGGTTATTGTGAATTATGTTATCCATGGACAGAACATTCAACACACCAACATATACAATCACGATCACCATCACCAAGAACTCATGAACATCAATATCGACAATCTCGTCGTGATGGATTTGAACGTGATGAATTTGACCAAACATATCCATCAAAAAATGAAACAATTGATGAAAAAATTGAACGTATTCGACGTGAATTACGTGATAGTTCATCACAAACACATGATAAAACAACTGAAACTACTAATAATTATCAATCATCACCAATTATTGAACATCATATACATCATAGACCACGCTCAACTTCACGTCCACGTAGTGCATCATCAACACGTGAACCATGGCGTTCATCAAATCAAAATGATTATCCATGGCGAGATACACATTTACCAGCTTATCGTGAAGCAACATTAGCACGTGCTCAAACACCTGTTAATGAAACTCGTACATGGAAAGAAACAGCCCATGAACGTAGTCATCAAAATACGCAGAATGCAACAACATATCATAGTAAAAAAGATTATGTTTATCGACCAAAATCTGAAACCGAAGCACGTAAATGGTATGTACAATCAACAGGTAAAGATCCTGATCGTGAAGTACATCAAGCATTACGTGGTGGTACAACAACATATAAATATAATGAATCACAAAAATCTTATTATGATAAACATCAAAGTAAAACTTATGATCATTCATTTTATTCGGATGTACCAACAACAAGTAAAACACATACATTAAGAAAAATTGATTCAACACAACATCATAATTTATATGCATGTAATGAACCATGTTTACATGTTGTACCTAAAAATGGTAGTACATCAGATCCACCTTATATGAAAATTCTTAATGCACCAGTAACATATATTCACTAAATTGACTTCAATTGAAAATCAAAAATTATGAAATACTTAGTTCTTATTTTTTATTGAACAAGAATATCTATAAATATTTTATGTTGTATTCATAATAGGAGATGTTTTATACATTCTCGTTTATCAAATTAATTTCAAGAATAAATACAGTTTCTAAGGATAATTCATCGATAACGATGACAACATTAAACAAAAACATACAAGTGAGTTACAATGATGAATAAGTACTTATAATTGCCTGAGAAGAAAATTCACACATGATGCAACCAATCGGATCGAGTTATTCGACATCTGATGCGCCCAAAAAAATTCTATTAATTGTTTATGTTCTATTCTATATATTAAAATAATCTTCTAGATCATAGTTTATAACAAAGAATTTTCATATAAGCAAAGACGAAATATGACCATCTTCGATTCTTAAAACAGTTATTGTTTTTTTTTTGAAGAAGTTCTTTTCTAACGAATTTGTCTCAAAGCACTGGTTCTTTAAGCTCAAGCTTAATGAGTGAATAATTCTGTAATATTATGTCAGAAAAGCTAACTACGAATAGCTTGAATTTTATGAAAAATCTAAATATTTTTTTACGGAAAATCTACTGTAAAGATTTTGTAGTCATAAGAATCCTCTACAAAATGTCGCATGTAGTTTTTGAAAAAACTGTTTGAACGCGCAGGATTTCTAATTGGTAGCGCATACAGTGTCCTGTTTTGGTGTCACGTTGCTAATATTAGTTTGTCAATAATAACTTTCTGGAACTATAGTCTACAGAAAACAGAGCTTTTTTAAGATATCTAGCGTAGCTCAACATATATCTGTTACATTAAAATTATTTAAAAGCAATGCACGAGTCTCCTGTCTTTTGTGAAATCATGTCGCTAACGAATGAAATAGCTCACACATATACATATATACTATTCCAAACTATGATATTCATTTTCAAGTTCAAGTATATTAAAGACAACAACATATCCTATATCAATGAAAGAAAAAAAACTAAAATATCATCTTACCTATAAATCGAAGTTGTCGATGATTGGATTCTTTCGTTGCCATTAGAAAAAAGAATTTCTGAAATAGAAAGATAAATATTGTCTTTTGTTTGTTATTGTTATCTTTCACACATGCGCACACACACATAGGAAAAAGAAAAAGAACTAGAGAATAATAATAATAATAATGAAACATATGAATTATAAGTTATATCGTAGAAAAAAAAACAAAAACCACACTCAAGTTCGTCATAAATACACCCAGAGAAAAAGTTTTGAACCACAAATAAGCTACTAAATCTATATACATATATGAAATCACTCGTACGAATCAATGAAGAAGATATGAAAATGAAAAAACGAGAACTGTTTCTATAGCGATATACATTATAGCAATGTATATAAAAATTATTGCAGAAAAAAAAAACACAAACAAAGAACTGAGACATTTACGTGTACGCACATATATTAGTAATCAAGAGATCTTTAAGATCTGACACAAAAATAATAATCATAACATATAAGTAGAAATGATTTCTTTTTTGAAGAAAAAAAAAATATGGATTAAATTGGAGATTCATCAAGAGGAATAAAAATGAATTAGAATCCAAAGCCAACAATTGAGCAACTAGATATAAATTGCTAAGATATAATAAGAAGTGATTTGCGTGGTGCTTGTACAAATTCAACACTTGCTGATCGTCTCAATGCAAGAAATGGTACTGATGGTTGTTGTGAAGAAGATAATTGATGAGAATTTATGGAATTTTGTGTTGGGTTCGATTGATTTGAATTTACAATTGAACTTGATGATGGTTGTTGCAGACGATTATTAACCATTGATAAAGCCTAATAAGATAAAAATAACATGTTTTCGAATTAATTTTTTTTTTTTATAACATAAAATTTACTTCAAGTTTAATTGCTTTTTCTTTAGTAAGTAATTCATCAGGAAATGACATTTGATTTTCTTTTGCTAGTTGTCGTAAATCAAAATAATATTTAGCATAAATAGATGAAGCAACATTAACATTAAATTGTAGAAGTTGAACATATTCACGTTCTAATTCATTCCTATAAGAATTTATATTCTGAATGCATTTCTTGAGGATTAAGTGAAGTCAGGATAAAAAAAAAAAATAAACAATTTTTCTGCGATTATCAACAACAACTACATCGTGTTTTATATATTAATCCTAGAGGAATTCTGCTAAAAGTATTTTTGATTAATTCGACTTACATTTCATTAACGTTTATGTCTTTTAGAATTTGACAAAAGTCAACATTCCATACTGCTTGATCGTCCCATACTTTCGATGCTAACATGACAGCTCCTATAAATAATAAATTTTATATAATTATGTTTTTTTTTTCGTATTAAAAATAAAACGAACCAAGTACAAGTCGTTTCCAATTCGATGGACATAAATCAAGTTCACCATAACTTAAAACACGTTCGAGATAAACCTTAACATGTATAAATATTCGATATAGATTTATAAAAATTTTCTACTAATCTATTTCTTTATATAATCGACGCCATTTTTGCTCAGATAGTTTTTCTTAAATAGATATAAATAGTTTCATTTCCAATATTAACAGCGAAATCACATAAAACTCATGAAAGAGAGTCATTGTCAGATGAAAATAAAATGTTTTATTTCCATTGAAATTTTAACTATATTCTAAGGATAAGTCGATCTATCTGTTGATGACATTTCAAATCGAAATTCTTGAATCCAATTTTTTTTTAGAAAAAACCTGGTTATATGTGTGAAAATTTCCCTAGGAAGCCATTAATACTTGTTGAGAAAACAATTGATCAGTGATTTCGTAATGTCCTTTATCAAATGCTATATAAAATGAGAGTTCTTTGTTGTTAGTTAGTACATTTATTAAACCCAACTCTCAAAATCCTTGGTAAAAAAAAAGAAAACTTATTATTCTTTGCATGCAAAATTGTCTTAATGATAATTTTTAAAGATATTAAAAATATGCGGCATGCATCTTTGACCCTTGCAATCCTCATTTCTCCTTGAAAGCCTAACACTTTTTCCATATATTGTTTGATCTATATAAGTTACAATTTTGTACATATAAAAAATAAAAATTTACCAAAGTGACAATAGCACATTCAGCTGTTAATTGTGCAGCTGTGAAAAGCATACGCATAAATCGATAAATTGTTTTTTGTTCTGGTATTCGTGTATCATAATCATCTGGTATAGGATCTTTCTAAAAACAATCAATATAACTTTAATAAATAAAATAATTTTTTCTAACATACAGTTAATGGATGAAGTTTTTCATCAAATATATCCATTGTTTTATTTGATTTTCTATGAAGAATATGTGAATGTATAGCAATACTAACACATTTTATCATAGCTTTCCAATTTGGTTGTGAAACAGTTGAATCATCAACATAAATTGTTGAACATGAATTTGAATGTTTTTGTAATTTATGTATTGTTGCAACATGTTTTGTATCATGTTGATATCGTGGTTGACCAGGTGAAAGTGATGATGTAGACTGTAATGGTAGTCGATGACGATTTTGATGTATCAATACATTTGCATTCTGTTCTTGGCTAGTTGATGATTCTGGTAATAGATTATTTGGACTCGTCTAAACAACAAAAAAAGAGAAACATTTTTTGTTGTTTATAGAAAAAAAAAAAGAAAAGTAATATTGTTTTACTTTTAATTGAGATGATGATGAAGTAGTTTGTTGTGTAGATTCTTTCAATGGATCTATTTAAATAAAAATTTATTGAAAAATATTTTTCTATTGAATTATTTTTATTTACGTAGAATCGATTGAAAATATGTTGATGTTGTTGGATTATCAGATGGAGCAAGTTCAACTTCATTATCTGAAATATATTCAAAAAAAATATTCTTAGAAAATATTTTTTTTTTTGTTACAAACATACTATTTCCATAGATTTCTGAAACATGAATTTTATTATCATATGCTTTTGAAGATATATCATTTACATTTGATGATTGATAATTTTCACTATGAAAATGAAATATAGATATAAGAGAAAATTAGAATTCGTTTCTTTATTAATATTACTCGTATTTATTTGATGTTTTATCACAACAATTACGACAACAACTGATGATAGCACCCATTGATGAACATTTTATGGAAAATAGATATGTCTCATATAGACCATCATTTTATTTTTTCTATTTATATATATATATACATATACATATAAATAAACAAACAAGTTTAGATATTGACTAAATGGTAGTATAGAAATATGATTCATTAAATACTGTTGGATTATTGAAAAAAGAAATCCTCTCAAGGTTGAAATGGAAAATATTTATTCAAAAAGCAATTTTTTAATTAAATATTTTATACTAAAAATTATCGTATTCTTTTTTTGTATATTAGTTCTTTAGAATCGAAATCCCATACAGATGTCACTGATAGACATATAATTTTCCTTAGGTTTTTAAGTTAAAAATTTATTAATTAATAAAAACTTTACAACGAGTCTATTTGTTACATGAATGATGGATTATTTCTGCATCCATATTATAATCAATCATATTCACATAAATCTCTTTGTATTTTTTTCGTCTTACCTGGTAGTATATCACTATTTTCTTTTCATATATTGATCAAATGCATACAATGGACATCCGATCGTACCCGATGGTTTTTTTTTTCTTTTGTTTTTTTCATGGCTCACTGCCTTTTCTTTTATCCAATATTTTTTGACTGCATTACTCTTGTTTACATTTATCGCTTCATAACTGGTAAAATTTATCAAACATTTAGTTTACCATACAAATAAATCATGAAGTATGCAATATTTACGTTTGTTATTCTAACTGTATTGAGTAAGATACTATAGAAATTTAATTAAGATAAAAAGAAATAAAAAAATTTTCTTTAGTTCCATCGGTAATAAATTTAGAATGTTATATTTGTAATTCAAATGATAATGAAGATTGTGCCAGTAAAAATTTACCTGATAAATATATACATAATTGTGATGTAAATTTTGAACCTTATTGTCGAACAATCATACAAACAAGTAAAAGAATATCAAAATAAAAAATAGACAAACAAACAAACAAGTTTTATTTATTCTTTTATAGTTGATGAAAAAAAATCTATTGTACGAACATGTGGTTCAAAAGCTGGATCAAAGTCATGTTATAAAACAATCGGAAAGAATACGGTATAAAATACATTTTATTTTTTTTCAATGATTTATTGATAAACTATATATTTTTTCTAGGCAAATGTTTGTTCATGCAATACTAATCTTTGTAATAATGCAATAAGTTTAAACCAACAACGACGAATCATAACAGTGATTTCATCGATTACTATTCTTGCAATCCCAATGATTATTCTTCGTTAATATCGTAAATCAGAAACTAGAAAAAAGAAACTGAGATCAATTTTTTATTAATTCTAAATCAATTCTACTTTTTCGTTTCTTTTTTAGTTTTGTTTTTCTTTTTGAAATTAAGGATTGTAGGAAAAAAATCTTTCTCTTTTTTATACTTCATTCAAGTTTTGCTATTGCAGTTCTCTTTTCTTGTGTTAGTTATATGATATCAATATATGTAGGTCTAATTTTTCTTTGGAATCTATTTCTAAAACACTCTCATATAGAATAGTTAAAAAGACAAAAATTTTAACAGAATAGTTTATTTTTTCATAATTCATGTCGAAGTTTATATTACATAGAATAAAATGTTTAATAATCGTATGTCTCAATTTCATTGTTGTCATTATTATTTTCAAGTGAATCAAAAATAGAAGTCGAAATTGGATATCGTAGTAAAACAACACATCCACCAAAACCAAGTCGAAATTGTTGTCCTTCTGGTGAACGATCTGTAACTAAGTATAGACGAAGATTCATGTCTTTATAATTTTCAGTTAAATAATCAATTAAATTCATCTCATCAATACATTCAATTTGTTCATTATCATTTTCTTTTATTATAGTTTTCAATTTTTTTTGTGCTTCTTGTTCATTATCAGCAACAATAATAATTTTTTCTTCATTTCGTTTTTGATAAACATAACGTTTTGTTATTAAATTTTCCCAAACAATTAAACGATCAATAAGACTACTATATTCATTAAGAATTAATGATGTTTCATTAACACCAATTGCATATGAAACCGTATTTGTTTCATTTGTTGTTGATGAAAGATTTATTTGACAAAAAACTTCCTCAAGTAATTGTCTTTCTTGTGTTAATTTCATATCAGCTAATAAATCAGTAGATAAACGAAGTGTTTCTTGTAAACCATTATCACCACCATAACTAACATCCATAATTCGAACAATTTTACTTTGTATTTGTGCACCAAGTAAATCACTTTTAACAAGTTCTTGTTTTAAATTCGCTGAACCACTTATAATAAATCCATCAACATTACATAAACCATTTTGTTGATTATTAAGAAAAACTGATTTAGCATTTTCAGCAACTTTACCTAAATAATTATGAATTGCTTCACGACGTAAACGTTCAAAACGTGCAGCTGATTGTCCACCACGACCATGTTTTTTCGGTAAACTAACTTGAATACGTTTAAGAATAGTTGTACCTTGTTGAGGATCAATACGAGCAAATAATGTTCCATTTCCATCAATAACAATAATTCCATATCGACGTGCAGTTAAATCATTTACACTATCGAGTATTTGCTGTTGAAGAAAATCAGTTATAAAATGCGATTCACATCGATATAAACCGTATTGTAATGGTTGTAATGGCTCAATACACATTGAAATTTTTGTTTCACGATGTTGTTCATCATCATAAATAATACCTGTATAAATAACGAGACCATTCTCTGGTAATGTATTTTGTGTATATAAACGAAGTCGTCCTTGAGCAGCAGATAGTGCTTGTTGAACATTATGCCGAGTTTGAGTAGATTTAATACATGATGATAGACTATATTCGTCAGTAAGAAGTTTCGTTGTTCGTGCTAGTTGTGATTGAGCAGGAACAATCATTGTTACTAATGATGTACCGCGTCCACGTAATGATGATAAATATTGAATAGTTCGACGAACTTTCCATTTTTCAATAGAAGAATCATCATTTTGCATTGCAGTAGCCATAGGAGATAGTTTGAATAAGATTTTTTACAATATACGAAATTTATTATGTCCATGGTAATGATGTTCATCGAGCTTTTATAGGTGACAGTGAGAAGTAACAACAACATTGCTAGCTAGATGTAATACTAAAATTTCAGAGTTTCATAAGGTGAAATAATTACGAAATTTCAATGTTAAATACAGGTTACAGTAATTACGAAATTTACATACAGAACTGAATGAAGATGTAGAAGAAAGGAAAGAAAGAAGCATGGAAGGAAAAAACAACATGAATCAATATAATCAACATTGTAAAATATGATTCACATTCTCTAATCTTGGCATAAGCTTTATTAGAGATTCAATAATTAATCACATTGAAGTTGGTTGCAAATATAGGAATAGATTTCATATTGAAGTCTGTTTAAAATATAAATGAAAAATTTATTAATCGGATTTCACAGCATTTAGTTAATTTGTTTCTTTATTAATTAGACGATTATAATCTTGTATTTGGTTGGTAAAATAGATGAAATGATTAATAAAAAAAAAAATATATAAATAGCTCGTGCAAGTTTTAAACCATTAGTATTTGAATTATTAGTCATAGTTCTTTAAATTGTAAGTTGATAACTTATAGTTGACAGTGAAACGTGCGATTATATCAGTAAAGAATTCAGATTTTATCGGCAAGAAAACTAAACACAGAATAAATAAGTAGAGACCTCAAAAAATTATTTAATAACAATTCAAAGAACAAACAAAACTGAATGATCATAGTATTAAAGCTACTTTAGCCTTTGCTGATCGCTTGTAGTATTTCAAACATTCTAGCATCATTATAATGTACGCATATACTATGCAAATACATCTAGTAATAATGCACTTTTGATAGGCGAAAAAAGCAATTGAGTTATTTCGATTCATATGTTTATGAAGATTATTCTCTCGCATTAGTAAGTAATTCCGGTAAGGAATTCCGGGAATTGAGTCGAGAGAGAATCGCACGGAGTTCCCGGGAATTCCGAGAATTGCTTCCAATTCCGAAATTGGTGGGGATTCCATCTCCACTCAATTCCCGGAATTTCGGAATCGGGGGAAATTCTTAGGAATTCCGTGCAATTCCATCTGGTTCCAGAGTTGCTGGGAATTCGGAGTAATTCCGTCTGGACTAATTTCCAGGAATTGACGGAACTCGGTCAGTGACTAGTAGGTCTGTTATTGGGAATGACGATCGAGTTCCCAGAATTGGATGGAACTGATTCCGGGTTCGGAACTGATTCCGCAATGTTCAACATTACGGAATAGGATGACTGCTCGGTTGAATGGAAAGTATAAGAGTTGATTTTTCTAGATCATTTGATTAGATTACAAAAAGATACAATGTATTAAAATGACACCACTTTGAGTTTTGTACATGTATGCGTTTCAAGATTTTTCAAGATTGGACCGTTGGTATTATTTTTAAAAACGCCATGAGTCATTACTGTTGAATTTGTAAGCCATTGTTTAATGGCCATATCCATGACTACATCGCTGACATGCGTATACATACTAACAACGGTTTCTGATGATGTCAAATCGATTTGTGGCATTAAAAACCGGTTTGTGTTCCCTTGCATACTATGTTTCAGTTATACGAAAACATGAACAATGTGTTTTTCTTTTTTTATATTTCAGATACTAAACTAACGTGTAGTCGACCTTGTAGTGATAATAAATGTATTTGAATGAGCGAATATGTAGAAAGAGTGGTTTAAGTTAACTAAATATAAAACCCTTAACATTTCATCTATATTTTAGATAGACAATCATATCGTGGAAAAACTCAAACTATTCATTTACGAAAGAATAACTTAGCATTTTGTTATAGTGGCACAGACACATTTAAACTCATGAAACACACACATCTTTGCTGTTACGCTTGTTGTCATAACAGTACAAATAAAAAGAATGAACTTTTTCTAAAAAAATTTAAATCACCATTGCAGATGTCCATAAAAGGAAAATGTAATTTAATCATAAATGGAAAGTTACAATGACCTTAAGCGAACATAAGCAAAATGTTTCAGTCAATCTGAGAACGTTCCTTGACAATCAATTCCGTCAAAACAGGTAGATGATCAGATGGATAACACATCTCGTACGAATCTGTCAAATTGGCATGTTTGAGTACTCTAAAATGAGATGGTGTTACAAAGATATGGTCTATTTGCTCACGTACACCTTGTGTTACGTCGAAGTTAACCTTAGAACCAGAGGGACCATAATGAGGTGTCTCCGTCAAGCATTTGGCATCTTGAAAGATAGTATCTGTGATGATAGTGAGGTAAGCATCGGAATCAAGTCCTGCATTGAAATCTCCAGTCAATATGATAGGTGCTTCGAGTCCAGTTATCTCTTGAATATGTGTCAGGACGAGACGGGCTCCTTCACGACGAGCAGTTTCTCCGTCACGCTCTAGGTGTGTATTGAAGTAGTACAATGTCTCAGGAGTTCGTCGATCGTTTATTTTCACCCAGCTACATATGCGTGGAAAAGTTGCGTCCCATCCCTTACTACCAGGAATATTCGGGGTTTGTGATAGCCAAAAGGTACCCTGGTTGAGTAGTTCGAAACGATCGGAGAGGTAAAATATGGCGGAAAATTCACCTTTGTCTTTGCCATCGTCACGACCGACACCATAATAACTAAAGTCAGTTAAAGCAGTTTGCAAGTCGACCAACTGATGATACAGAGCTTCTTGAACGCCAAAAATATCGGGTGAATGATAGCGAATAAGACCAATGACGCGGTCTTTACGAAATTTCCATTGATTCTTGCCATCGTTGACGACATCTTCTCGAATGTTGTAGGTCATGATACGAAGCGACGAAGACCATTGTTTGCTCGACATGGCTACTAGCAATCGTAAGAAAAGCAGCGAGAATGTTGATGTAGTTGTCGATTATGTGATGTGCTGAGTAGATCAGGTTGAGAATGAAAAAAGCAAGAAGCTTAGAAATAAAAATAATAAACTATGCTTGCCTAAGATAAAGAATGATGTTATTGATATAGAACAAAAAAAGCAAGAAACAAATCCGTCATCCAACGTTGAGTTGTTGCGATAAATGAGTCATCTACCTCACCAGGTTGTTTTTATGCGAGAAAAAAAGTTCTACATCAAAGAGTAACTAGTGTATTCAAGATCAATTTTTGATTAATTTTTGACTAAATCGCAATGGGAGCACTTATTATGTGTATTCAGGATGTGGATGTGGGTATAGATGTGTATCTTCTCTTTACTCAGA